TACTGGGCACATGGGCCTATTTCCTCCTGGAAAAGTGGTTTCTTAAGGCCAGTGATGCTGATACATGACTGGAAGACTGAAATTGCTAAAGCTTGTGGGAGCTGCCCTGAATGGAGCAGCACTGAGGCTGCCTGAAAATCAAGCATTGACACTTTTCACCTCAGTCTAAAGTATTGGTCAGATCTGTTTGACAGTGGCTTTTGCTCTTCCTCTCCTCCTGGGCATTGGTGGCATCCCTGAGAGCCCCTCAAGCTTGGAGCTTCCAGTGCTTACCCCCAGGCTGGGGATGCCTGAGCTGAGTTGGTTCATCCACAGTGAGCTCAGGCACAGGTGATTCATGCTTGCTCTCAGATGATTGCATTTGCCGAATGTGGAAAGCTCAGATAAAATAGGTGCCTACACCTTCTCTTCCTTTTACAAGCAGATAACGGAGGAACAGCTCCACAAGCAGCTACTGGCAAAACTGCTGCAGCCGGTGCCCAGGTACACAACACTCCTGTGTGTCCCACCCCGGCGGGAGACCAGCAGACACCCACCAGAGGGGGTCTCTCAGAGGTCCCTTAATGCAAGAAACGCACTATTGTAATGCAGATTTCCCCTCAAAGGTGTCACAGCCTCAGCATTGTTCACAGGCTTTGCTGCCAGCAGTGTTCCAGCTGTTCCTGCAGGATGGAACTGTCCGCCTTCACTAACAAGTGGCTGTGCGCCCAGAGAGTTATTTTGCAAAGCAGTGACGGGCAGGGCTGCTCGGGGAAGGGCGGGACTATAAAGCAGAGGCAGGAGAAGCCGTGACACACCGTGCAGAGCAATCTCCTCGCTCCTCACACCTCCTTCCAGGCGCTTGAGGAAGGCAGGGCTGCTCTTAGCAACTGCGAGCTGCAAGTGGCTCAGGGGTGAGCAGTGACGGGGGAAATTCAGCAGCGCACAAAAAGAACCACTGGCCCTGTGTCATTGCTGTGACTAATAACAAAATTGCTGCGGGTTTTCATGGTGAAGCTGTTCTGCTCCTGCCCCGCGGTAAGCTGGCTATTCCAGCTAAGCTGCTTTCAGCTCTTGGATGTGAAAGAGATGTGTGAGCAAAGCCTTGCCCGCCCTCTAATCAGTGCAGAATTAAAGAAGGAGCCGTGGAGCATAATCTCACCTTCCCCAGCAACAACTATGGCTGGGAGGGCTTTGTTAGCCAAGGAGGGGGTTAGGAGGACGATGCGTGTGCAAGTGTGGGTGTGCACACGCGTGCAAGAGACTTAATTATTGCAGCTTTGTGGTAGCCTTTAAAGCCATATATTGCGATATGCTTGGCTTGCCAGTTGTTCTGGCAGCTTTTAAAAAAAAATCACTTGTGAACTGTTTTTTATCAGAAGCCATTGCGTGCCTGTCCATCTGGGTTTCAGAGCCACCGCCCTGGGGTTTTTTAGTCACTGCACTCTTCTGACTTTTAGCATTTATTTGCAGCAGTGTCCCCACACCCCCACCCCCTCACACCCCCTTCACTGGAAGTGCCTCCCCTTTAGTTCAAAATGGCCAATGTCTCACTTCAACAATTTCTTTGTCAACTGTTTCCTAGGTCCCTTAACTAGCTTTTCCTTAATGTTTCTAAGTGTCCTTCTCCTCCTTCCCTCACCTATTTTTTTCTTTGGTAAGTGGATCGTCTACTTCAATCTCTTCCAGGTCCCTGCAAACCCTCACCCCTCTAGGAATGTCACTGTGGACTTGCATGGAGGATGGCACTTCTAACTACCACTTAATTGCAAAATCAGGTGCCACATGATAATGAAGAGTCAATTCTCAGGTCATGCTGTGGAATATGCCTCCAAGATGAAGGTGTAACTGACTACATACATTTAAAGTGCTCCAGGCACAGCCTGAGCTCTTAGCTGAACTGTGTGACCAAGTGTGCCTCATGGAGCAGAAACTTTTTGAGTGGGCTTGTTCTTGAAATACATATTTTTAAAGTAGCAGGTCAAAGAACCTCTGGAAAGACTGAGAGTGGAGGAAAGCTATTTATTTCTCATCCAAGAAATATTTATACTATAAAAAAATATTACCTAGTTTTTAAATTGTGCAAGCACACTTCATACTTCTGACTCTGGACCAGGATAGCAAGAGTCTAAAGAAAAGCACCATTCCCAGAAGTTTCACATGCTGAATAAATGAGCTACAAAAGGTGTATTTGTTTTTTGAACTCAAACCATTAGGGAATGCATGTTCCATGCAGCACACAAGAGTGCTTGAATATAAGAATACAAGAATATAAGTGACCAATCTGCACTGCACCCATCCTACAGGATTCCAGTGTGCAGTACTGTTTCTTCACAGCAGCACTGTACCTATTTTTCTTACACCAAGCCACTGATTTCTAAGACACAATTCTCAGGCCAACAGTCAGTTTCAGCTTTATTTATAGAAACAGAAAATGATACAAAATTATGAAAGATCTACAAAGCACTGAAAAAAACCCAACAAAATTATTTCAGTTCAGAAACAGGCATATTCTAGATGACCATCAAGGTCATTTCCACACTGGAGTAGGAAGTTTTGCATACCTACAAATTGGAATCTGATCACTTAGTAGCCCCTCGTTTTATGTAATAATGGTAATCAATCAGACTGAAGAACAGACTCATGACTTTTCTCTCCAATGCTAATTTAACTTAATTAGAAAGCCTGAGGAAGTCCTTGCCCTTAGCTCTATTCTACTCCAAAATGGAGGGCAATCTCAGATCCTTTTAGTAAATTGAGAGGCTCAGAGCAATATACTTCTTTTGTGGCTGAGAGGATCCTTTCAATCACTGTAAGTCAATCAGGAGGGTCATGTCTCTGGCCAGGCAGCATTCAAGGTAAGTCTTATTTCCAACAGTTCTCTGTATCTCCATGAAATTACTTCCAGAGGAAATCACAGCATTCTCATGGGGTAAGGGTATGGGGGAGAATCTTTCCCT